TTCTAATCCCATAAAGCTGAGACTGAGGCAGAACTATTGTCTTGACTGTTTATTGTGATTTTCATCTGTCCACTGATAAAGTAATTTATTACAGTGAAAGAAAGTCCAAACTTTACTGTAATACTGTATACTGCAGCCGACAATATTGAACACAGCAGTCAAACTGAAAAAGTGCCAGAATCAATATTGAAATCAATATAAGCACAGACTCAAGTATTGGAGGAGCACATTTAAAACTGTTAATTGTGAAATTAATGGAGGAGAAGCAGACATTGATGAGTAGAATCAGGTTTAAACAGTAAGAATAACTGTTCATTACTGAGCCATTCAGGTTCTATTTTTCACAGCTTGGAGCAAAGTACCTGAGAGAAGAGAGCAGAACTCCCAAGAATAGTAAATAAGAGTGTTTTAAAAAGCTCAAAGGCACAGAGGCAGAGCAGCTGAAGAGATTTGGTACATTTCTATCAGAGGGCTTGTAGGGAGTGGAACCAAATAAACTTCTTCTATAATCTTCACAAAATGCTTTGACAACAAAGCAAGAAAAGGAAATATAAGAGAATTCCCAATCAGCAGGATGCAATGTGACAGGGAGGCCAGACAACCATGTGAATGAATATAGAGCTGTGTCACGTGAAAGCTTGAACACACAAAAGCAGCAATATGACAATACAACATCACATGAACGATATCATGTGATATAATATATAATAAGAAAAGTAGAGATTGAAAATGTTACAGATGAGAAAAGAGTAAAAAACAAGGCAAATAAAACATTATGATGATTAAAATAGTCGGTCAAGCCATGTTGAAAAGGTGACAAACTTATCATTACATAAAAAATAAACTTTCAAACAACATTGTGACATCCTGGTTTTCTCAATATGAGACAAACAAACAGAGATCAGAGGACAAGAGGAGAAAATCTCCACTTTAAACAATTCGTATCAAATATTTACCTGTAGCCTCCATTTTGAACTCAGGTGGTCTGAACAGGTGAGTCACAGGCCTCCTCAGTTTGGGTCATGGCGACATCGACTGGAGAAAGATAACACTAAACCAACTCAACTAATAATTAACCAACTAACTGGTAACTTACTAACTAGTAACTAACTACCTAACGTTGCCTGGTAACGTTATTCCTTCGACACGAGGCCACTTCTCAAACACACGTAGAAAATCTCAGCGGGTCGTTTTCATCACTAACCGCACTTTTGAATTATTCCCGGGTCGCTGCGGGTTTAATCCACGTGTGATAAATGTTAGAAGAAACAAGTTGACGTCAAACTTTCCATGAAACTAAAGAAACCTGTCGCCACATCTTCTCAGACACGTGATGACCGGTGTTTGGCCCTGACAGGCAGCAGGCGGCCGGAAGTGACACACTTCCTTAATACTACGTCACTAAAATGTAAATTGCATTATTGCGTAAATTCACTCAGACATAAAGACTCAATTTTATATCTATAAAGCATTTTTTTTGGCTTATACAAGAGGTAATAAAAAAAAATAAAAACGGAAATACAATTTTTGGTCTTATTCTGATTTGTGTTTTATTTATTATTTATTTGAATGTTTAATTTTCTTGGTTTACTTGTGTGTCTGCTTTGGTTGGGTTGGCTGCACAAAGAGGGAAGATATTGCTATCTTTTTATTTGTAGCTTTGTTAGTTTGCAGCTTTATTTATCTCTATATCTTTATTTATTTATCTATATTGGACATCCCTCACTTCTTCATACTCAGTTAGTTTGTCAGTTATTTCATTGACACAAACAAATAACACATTTGGGTCCAAACAATATAAAAGGCTTTTATGTACAAAACAAAACAGTAGTAGTAGAAAAAAAGTTATTAATAATTGAAAAGATAATGCTGCAAGATAAGTATGAAACATAACTAAGGTTCTTTTATCCACAAAGAGAGAAGTCAGGACTCCATTCACGTATAAACGTGTCCAGACTGGGCTTCATCCCTCAACTAATGTCAGGGGTTGGCTCGAGCTCCCTTGGAAGCCACAAGTGGTGCAGTTTAATAATGGGTGGACACGTCAACTTATGCTTCAGTCGATTGATATGCTTCAACTGATAGTTTAACTCGTCTCCTCCCAGCTCTGAACTGACATTTCAACCAGCATTTTTCCAGAAATTTCATGTTCTTTTCACTTCAACTCCTAAACTGACAATTATTCTGATTTTTTCTGATTTTAACTGAGAGTTCAATGGTTTTCAGTACCTGCACTTTAATTATTTTCTCCATTAACATTATACTTCAGCTGATTTTCTTTTCTTTCTTTTAAACTCACAATTCAACTACTTATCTTACAGTTTAATTGCTGTTTGTCTTGACAGAGCAACTCAACTTCATTTTAGCAACTTTTATTTTATTCATCATCAAATGACAACTTCACTTCTTTCTAGTCTTTTCATTA